AATTTTTTTTCACAGTTTTGGTATTTCTCAACGAATTAAATTGTATTATAGGTTGTCTGAAAGAGGATAAAATTCTCTATAAAACCTCCAAATATCACACTAGGTGCTCCTATAGGTTTTGAGAAATTAGGCTTCAAAGTTGAAATTTTACTTAGATTTTGTCAAAAACTTCAAGATCAAAAATCTCAAATACCATAAGTGAGAGAAATATTTCCCAAACAAAGTTTCGAAGTATTCAATGAGAGCTACAAACTCAGAAAATTTTGACCTGATACCTTTCATATCTACCGGGATATTGTCAATGAAAGAATTTGATTAAAAAGTGCAAAGGGGGTAGAGCCTGAAAAATCAAAATTTTTTATTTATTTTTTTTTTCAAATTGAACTTTCCCAATCGAAAGAGGAGGTTGCAATTAGTGGAAAACAAATCTTACATTATTTCGGAAACAGTATTTTCATGAGAAAAAAAATCAAAGAAAAAAATCACAATTTTGACCTCAAAAATTTTCTTACAGTCTGACATGGTCTCAAAATTTTGCTCACAGTTTTGGTAATTCTCAACGTATCCAATTGTATTATAGGTTGCCTGAAAGAGGATAAAATTCTCTATAAAAGCCCAAAAAAATTATACTAGTTGCTTCTATAGGTTTTGAGAAATAAGACTTCAAAGTTAAAATTTTACTTAGATTTTGTCAAAAATTTCAAGATCAAAAATCTCAAAAACCATACGTGATAGAAATATTTTCCAAACAAGGTTTCAAAGTATTCAATGAGAGCTACGAACTCAGAAAATTTTGACTTGATCCCTGTCATATTTACCGGGATATTGTGAATGAAAGAATTTGAATAAAAAGTCCAAAGGGGGTAGAGCCTGAAAAATCAAAATTTTTAATTTGTTATTTTTTATTTAAATTGGACTTTTCCAATTGAAAGAGGAAGTTAAAATTATTGGAAAACAAATCTCACGCTATTTCGGAAACGGTATTTTCATGAGAGAAAAAATCATAGAAAAAAATCACAATTTTGACTTCAAAAATTTTCTTACAGTCTGACATAGTCTCAAGATTTTGCTCACAGTTTTAGTAATTCTCAACAAATCAACTTTTATTATAGGTTGTCTGAAAGAAGCTGAAATTCTCTATAAAACCTCTAAATATCACACTGGTTGCTCTTATAGGTTTGGAGAAATTAGGCTTCAAAGTTGAAATTTTACTCAGATTTTGTCAAAAACTTCAAAATCAAAAATCTTAAAAAACATAAGTGATAGATATATTTTCCAAATAAGATTTTGAAGTACTCAATAGAAGCTATAAATTCAGAAAATTTTGACTTGATACCTCTCATATTCACCAGGATATTGTCAATGAAAGAATTTGATTAAAAAGTCCAAAGGGGGGGTTAGAGCCTGAAAAATAAAAAAAATTATATTTTTTATTTTTTTTTCAAATTGGACTTTCCCAATCGAAAGAGGAGGTTAAAATTAGTGGAAAACAAGTCCCACATTATTCCAGAAACAGTATTTTCATGAGAAAAAAAAAATCTCAATTTTGATCTCTAAAATTTTCTTACAGTCTGACATGGTCTCAAAATTTTGCTCACAGTTTTGGTAATTTTCAACGAATCAAATTGTATTATAGGTTGTCTGAAAGAGGATAAGATTCTCCATAAAACCCCAAAAAATTATACTAGTTGCTTCTATAGATTTTGAGAAATAGGACTTCAAATTTAAAATTTTACTTAGATTTTGTCAAAAACTTCCAGATCCAAAATCTCAAAAACCATAAGTGATAGAAATATTTTCCAAATAAGGTATTAAGCAATTTGGGGTGATTTATCAATTTTTAAAAGGCTCTAAGTGCCCAGCCAAAGTGCTACAGCATTCCTTGTTAAGTATTTTGTTCATCCAGTTGTTACAGTTGTTACTTTAGTTCCTGCCATTGCCTTCTCAAGACTTCTCTTTCCCTTGCAACTATTACTTTTTACCAGTTGTGTCAATGAGGCATAAGGTTCTAAAGTTTATTCAAGTCCAATGCGAAATATTTGTAAACAAACACAATCAGGCGTTGTTCACTGGAATGACAGAAGGTGCAAAGAAAACGGAATTCGGCACGAAGCACGAAACCAGAATCCAGAATCGACCAATAAGAACCGTGCAAACGATCACTTGATCACGCACTTGGCGGTTTGTTTTTTTGTTAGTTCGCCTTGGATTTTAAAATAGACTTTAGGTTATACTTCTCCTCCTTCGTGCTTCTTTGACTTCTCTATTGAAATTAGTCTTGATATATTCCATATATCAGCAAACTGCCATCTTATCCAAAAGAAATGTTTTTGGTTCTCCTTGGCATATATCTTTGTTCTACTTTTTCTGTTTACAAGCCTACAAGAGACTTCCTACATTGTATAATGTGGAATGTGATATTTCCTTTCCTGTTACATTTATATTTTTCGTCGACTTTTCCTGTATCTATCGCTGATTTTTGTCGCAGTTCCAGTTTTCGTAACAAATAACTGCTTCCACAAGTTATCTTTCTATAATTCCCTCAGACCATTCCTAGACGAATCAGATTCCTTATTCCATGACCTAAAGTACTAGGTACTACTAACTGGTCATAGTTGCAAGTTGCAAGATCATACGGAACCCAATCCAAGCTCTAGATGCTACTTAAGGCTCTGACATATTAAAACCATATTTTTGTAAGGGATGGAAAAGAGTGTTCCAAAACTGTTGATGTAAGAATAGTAAGTCCAGCAACTCTCTCAAAAAATACAGAAGACGTAAAAATGTTTGTGAAGTATTTGGACAACAATTTTTTAATTCCTCGCCAATGTAATGTAATATGTAATTTATTTTTAAGTATCCTTTATTGATATCGCCAGATACTTCATTGTACCTAATAACCCGGTATCATAAAGACAGAATAGGTGCCTACGTGATTCGTTTTCACCGTGCAGTAACTTACATAAATCACCCATCCGCGCGCGTGCTGGACGTATTTGATTACTGTGCCGTTCTCGCGTTTATACACTTACCTTTTTTTCCTTTTTTAATTTGAACATAAGGAAGTGGAAATTTACTTAGAATTTAATTCAGTAGACACGAATACCATGTCTACAATCCAGTTTTACTTCTTTGTCGAGCATTTTACACCTTAAAGATACAAATCTTCGCTTCGGAATAAATAATTACCTACGCTAGTATTGTTGACAGTCCGTACAACACTTTCGAGACAACTATTTCTAGTTCTCGTTCGTAGAGGACTTTTTTTCTTTACAAGTTGCAAGTTTTTTTTGCCCTTAATTGCTTAATAATTACTATTCCCATTCACCTTTTCCAATTCGGCATTCCTCTCTATTGCGACAATCATCTCCATATACGCTAGAGAGATGACAAAACATTTTTAGTTTACATCCAATTATATCCTTCCATATACACCAAATTTAAACGTGGGACGCATTCAGTCGAAACAATGCAATGGGTGAAAATGCCGCTCTCTTACTTACTAAAATCAAATGCAAATCGAAAAGGAAATGTAACAATGGTACGCTTCAATGTGTGTGCGGTGGTCCACATGTCAGAATATAGCTGTAAGGTATTTCTATGTTGATTTTAAGTGGTGAGTTGGTAATTAAGTTGAAATTTTAGTGTAAGCATCGGTGGTTCAGTGGTAGAATGCTCGCCTGCCACGCGGGCGGCCCGGGTTCGATTCCCGGCCGATGCAGTACTTTTTTTGTAGTACCGCAGTACTGTTCCGAGTTTCGATCACAAACTCATTACATCATTAGTGTGGCTGAAATCAGCCTAAAAATCCATGCGGGCTTTGATTCCCGGCCGAAGATGTAGTACTTTTTTTGAAGTGCCGCGGTACTGTTTTGAACATAATTTAATTCGGTCACAAACTCATTACAGCACAAATTTCGAATATTCTAAGGTGAAGTTCTCTGAGCGCACCCTGTATTCACCTAACCTGAGATGAAGAAATCAAGTGGCGCTATATCCAAAAATCTTGCAGGCAATTCCAGACAACCGCTTCCGCTGAAATGGATTCCCACTGTCAATGGGTCCACCACATTCTTCCTTGCATGAATTGACGGAAGAATTTCTGGTGGACAAAGTTTCTGAATATAGCGCCGCTTGATTATTTAATTTGAAATGATAAAGAATAAGGATTCAAGAAATAATTTCACTACTTCTCGTTACATGTCGCTGCAAATTAAATCAAACCACACTGTATATTATCTCAAAGAGCTCTTGACATTTTCTCAAATAGCCACCAAAATCATTCCAAAAAATAGTTCCTATCTGAGCAATTACTTCCTAATAAGACACATTCTACCAACAACGACAAATTTAACGAGTCACCATATAAACTCTCCATCGCTGTCCTAATGCGAGTTTGAAGCGTACATGGTTTTTGTCACTTTTCTTCAACTGTAACGTGAGCACCTTTACTAAACTGGTTAATAAAGTCACATCGTTAGCAGCTTTTTTTTTATTTTCGTCCAATTTCTTTCTTTCTTCGGCCGCAGTATTGTCATCATCATTACACCGGAGGTAATTAGTATGAGAACATCGTCAATTTGTTAGGAAGATTCGTTGAGAATCTTAAATTAAGTGGTTAAAAAATTAATGGGCCTCTATCTCCATTACTAACAAGTTTTATTGCATTATCAGCTTAAACATGCAAATTTAATTATCCCTATGCAAATAGCGAAGATAATTCACACAAAAAGTGCGAATAATTGATGTTAATCCTATTTGCCGGCATCTTTGAATGCAAAATTGGTGAAAACAGCCACTTTGCTCGATATAAACCGCAATATAAACATTTCGCCGTTCTCATGGGAACTCATCTCAAAGATGGACAGAAAACTGATTATGGGTATAATATGTGTATATTAACCAGTTATATTTTATGATGGATCTATGTATGCTAACTAGGAGAAAATCGAACCTATTAATATCGGATGCAATATTTTATTGGTTTTATTTCATTTCAGATCCGGCAGTTCTTGGCCGGTCCACCGATGTCCACTGCGGACGCAGCCCTCAGCCTTTTGCACCCTGCTTGGCTACCGCGTTGCCGCCCTTACCTTCTACCGCCACCAGTTATTATGAGAGAAAAGGACTCGTCGCCTAGAAAGATGCTGGTGGCCCAAAGCGGACACTCGTCTCCTAAACAAGCAGCTGTGTATCCGTTATCGGTAAGAAACAATTTCAACAATTCACCTGTAATATCCTACATTGCCAAATATTGTGTTTCTGTATTTGTAAGTTTGGAAGAGTGGTATGGTATGCCACAGCATCAAGGCCACAAGGTGTGCCTCCACAAGAGGGGAGGTCATCCTTAAGTAGTCATCCAGCCTAGTGATTCAACATAGGCGATGACATCGCCGAGGGTGGTGCCTCTGATCTTCTCTGTGATGGGTACGATTGGCCTAATGGTCAAAGAATGTGCTCTATCAGCAGCGGTGACACTAGCTCACGTGGGTTAGGTACCTCCGCCCGTCGGCGTCGTGATAATTCACCACTACAGCATCCTGTAATACGAACTTCACACTATGTACGCTAGATGGCGCCACCGATCACGTCATGACGTAGCCACGCCAGTGTTGACGCTTGCGCCGAAGTCTTGGAGGTGTTGGAGGCGTCGGAGGGCGTAGAACCGGCTATGTATATCTACTTCTATTGTCTCGTCTTCTTGATTAAAGCCCTAACAAGGGTGTGATAGTGAGGTGCAACCTAAACAAATGTTTGTTTAACTGACAGTGGCCAGTCACGATGCCCGTTATTAGGCGTAGCCTTTTCCTGATCAATGACAGCTTTTGGCTCGCTGCAGCTTTATCTGGATAGCTTAGTTCCTTGGATAAGTTGCAGCCAATCGTACCATCCCAGCGCTTTTTGAAAAGGGTATGGGAGAGTTTTTTAATTTTATCTTTGGATGCCGACATGGTCAGCCCCACGAAGTGCTCCGGTCCAGAAGGCTGTAGCCTTGTGGCCCTCCTGGCTAGAGCATCGGCAGCCCGATTATCTTTGCTGTGATCATGTCCTTTGATCCAGCTGACTACCATTTTATTGTTGATCGACGCTTCTGTAAGTGTACGGTGGTAATGTTGTATTAGTTCTGACGTGAGTCGCAGTCTAGATAGGGCTAGTACTGCTTGTCTGTAGTCTATGTGAATGTGTAAGGTCTTGTCAGTGATATTGTTGTTGACTATATATTCTGCCGCGATGGTTATGCCAGTAATTTCCGTTTGGAGGACATTAGGCGTGCAGCCAAGAGCTATAGCTAGGTTCAGTTTAAGGGCTTTGGAGTATACCCCGCATCCCGAGCTTGTTTCATTTTTGGAACCATCAGTGTAGATGTTACTTACCCCTGTCACTGTGTTGTTTCCAATACCTTTCATGTTGATTGAGTAGTGCTTTTTGAAAACGAAACATAGAGTCCACTCTGGTCTCCAATAGTGGAAGCGAGTTTGTTGCCTCACACCATAAACGGGCTCTCTGCAAAGCGACTTCTGCACATTGATCTATTCCAGTAGTGTGGAAGCGCATCATTGTGGTTAAAACGACCTCCTTGACATAAGTATCCAGGGGCGTCAAACAGAATTACTTCCAAAGCCCTAGTTGGTGTGGTTTTCATTGCACCAGTTATGTTGAGGCATGTTATTCTTTGAACTAGTGATTTCCACGAGACCAACGAGACGAGACTTCCATAAAGTCTTGTCTCGTCTCGCCGATAAATAAAAAGTCTTGTCTCGAGTCTCGTCTCGCAGCCTTAAGTCTCGTCTCGTCTCGCGTCTCATACGAGAGTCTCGCAAATGTCTCAGAGTCTCGTCATGCATAATCTTGTTCCAGTTTAGAGTCTATAGTTGAACCAAATCCAAGCGGCAGTAATGGCATAACTGGTCATTTTCATTAAAACCTATCAAATGTCCTCCGTGCATGCGCACTGGTCCAGGTAGGGCGTCTCAACCAATAGAAAGTCTGGATTACCAACACAATTTAGGTTATTTAATGTGGAGCAAAATACTCAAGAAGTATATTTCTATATTTAAATCCTCCTTAAACTGAACCCCTAATAACTAATTCATTATTCAAGTATTCAATAACAATGGGCGCGGAAATGTTCTAAAATTGGTTATGACGTCATCGAACGATAAGCAAACAAAAGTGTGGTTATGTTAACGTGAAACGTAACCCGTCAGACGCTTGTGTTTACATCGAATTCTACTAATGGATCCACCATTGTATGTCGGTTATTATCATTTTCCATTCACTGAACAAAGATAGCTAACTCATTGGTGAAGCCACCGATTAAAATAAAGGGGAAACTTGACAACAAAATAAACCACACATGTAAGTCGCACAAACAATGACATAAAACACAATTGACAATGGATAAGACAGGGAGGGGAGTACAGAGACTCGTTTTGACGCTTGGAAGGATATCGTCTTGTGACGTCATTGATTTACGACTGCGTTTTGGCGCGAGAATTATTTTGAATTTTTATATTTTTTTACAGAAAAACTATTAGTTGAAAATCTAAAATTTATGTGGCAAGTGACTTTTTATAATGTGAAGAATTTAATAAGAGAATAAGAAAAAAATTTGCAAATTCCTCATTGTCATTACTGCCGCTTGGATTTGGTTCAACCATAGTACAGGATACTTACCTATGTTGCATCCCCCTTTTCCCTGCTTCATCAAATTTGCTGGGGTGCAAGAAGCCCTTTTAAGTAATGTTAGTTAATATTAAATAATAATGATAACATCCGAATTGTGTGTTTTGGAGTTACTCCGAGGAGCTCTAGAGCGACAGGTTCGGTGTATCCTGTCCTGTCATTTTTAGTTGTGTTATAGCTCAAAGTCTATACCTGTCTCTATTTTTACGTGTAGAATAAGTGACAGATAACTTAACGTTGCTGTTAAAATAACAGAAAATTATAAATCATAGGCCTGGGGGGCTTTATTTGAAATTGATGCAACTTTGTGTATACGCAAATGACGTCATTCGTAATTGAAAATTGGTGCACGGCTTATTTGACATGCACTTTTTCATTCGCATTTGACGTCATTTGCGTCATTTTTGCGTGTGCGCCAAGTTGCATGAATTTCAAATAAACCCCCCCAGGATGGCGGTAATTTTAACGCACGTAATTATAAAATATTGCGTCATGTGAAAACATAAAATATTTTGTAAAAGTATAAAATATTCGCCCACCGTTATATACGCCACTGCCAACAGAGTTCTGATGGGAGGGGTAGGCAATGAACTGGGGTAGGCGGTTTCGCGAAAATCCGGCAACTGCATATATTTACATTATATGTGTTCTTTGTCTGCACGCAGAAATATTCACCTGCGAGAATTTTGCACGAGACACGAGACTCTCGCACGAGACTCGAGACGAGACCAATAAAAGTCTCGTCTCGTCTTGTCCGAGACAGTCCGAGTCTCGTCTCGAGTCTCGTCTCGAAAACGAGACGAGACCATGCGAGACTCTCGAAAACGAGACTCTCGTGGGAATCACTACTTTGAACAGATGACAAGCATAAAGGTAAATTCGAGAACTCGCTCTGCGAACGCATGCAACATGCTCTTCAAATTATTGAAAGATGGTGCACGGAATATACATCCGTCCATCAACCCCAAAAAGACTAAAATAGTCCTATTCACAAAAAAGAGGAAACTGGTACTTCCGACAGCACCCAGACTCTTAAACACCGAACTAAGTTTTGCCGCCGAATATCTGAGAGTGACACTCGATTGCAAAGTAACATGGAACTCTCATATTGTTGAGATAATACAGAAAGCATATATAGCCTATGAACAGTGTAGACGTACTATTGGTAAGACCTGGGGGTTCTACCCTAAGAGCTGCTGTCTTTTCAGGGACTTGGGCGCCCTGGATCACGATTTTGACAGGTAAAGAACTGTTCTTTTTAATCGGGGCGTTAACCATTTCGCTGCTCAAGACGAGTATTCTCGCTAACCGTTTCACTGCTCCAGACGAGAATACTCGCATTTCAAAATAAAATAGAATCTGACTGCTCTAGCCGTGAAAAATCGCAGCATCGTATTTTGTAGGGTGGTGGCGAGCTGGCAACGTTGCTTTTCGTGCAAATTGGGTACATTCAGGCGGTCCCAGCAGCTAAGTTCAGCCACTCAGCGAGAACTTTATTCTCGAAACAGAAAAGCAGCGTTCTCATGAGAACGAAGGTTCTGTCTTTGTCGTCCGTATTTATATTTCCATGACACTGACAATGACAGAGCATGAAAACGCTGTTTTTCGGTTTCGAGAATAAAGTCCCTGCTGAGAGGCTGAACTTAGCCGCTGGCACCACCTGAATATGTACCTTTCACATAGCTTCTCCATTGTTTTTAGAGAAAATGATGAGAGGCTAATGAGGCGATATGCTTGGGGGTGGTGTAGTCCAGCCTCCCTGGTTTGGGTAGGAAAACCACTTTAACTTCTCTCCAAGTCTTGGGTATGCATCTCAGCTCCAAGGACGCCCTGAACATCCCTATCAGGTGCGGCAAGACCCCACTGAAGTAGGGCTGAACAGATGCTGGTGCTTTGAAGCCGGAGAAGCCTGAGATTGCCCAACCTATTTTTTCCTCGTATATTATCGACCAATTCGCTAGTTGCCAATCAGCCACAGAGTTACCTGCGTCTGATCCTCCAAAACGGTGGTTGTGGAGTCAAAAAAGTGGGTTGCTAGTAATAACTCTGTGCTTTCTTGAAGGTGCAATCCTCCTTGCACAGAATATCAATTTCCCGCAATGGGTCTTTATTAGGAGCTTTCTGAAGTCTCGCCGCTTCCGTATATTGTATTTATAATTTTAATTTCAGGTTAGAGTCCCACCACCGGAAGATGCACCGTTCGATCTTAGCAGAAACACCACAAGGTCTTCCCCAGGTCCACACATGAGTCCTGCAGGAAGACCGCACGAGCAGCACAGCGAAGAACAGCCACTAGACTTAAGGGTGGAGCACAAAAAGCTCAGTCTGTTGATAATGAGGCGGCAGGTAAATTTCCAAAAAACCTCCCTGAAAACAAAAATCATTAAAAATAAAAATCTTGTTTCAGGTTGAAGACGAAAATCGTAACATAATCTCGTCGCCAGCTCCTAGTACTTCAAGCGAAAAAGAAGAAGTAATAGTCGAAGATCGATCTTCGCCACCTACTCCAAACAATATTCCTAAACCGTCGTTTTCACCTCAGCTTCCGGCATACCCTGGAATGCTCTTCCCACCTCAACCGATTCATCCGATGATGCTGGAAGCGATGTACCGAGCTCAGGGTGGCGACAAAGTTCCAAGGTTACCATTACCTTACCCACCATCGCCTGGATACCCCCAAAGATACCCTTTCCTAAGCCCTAATATGCTTAGCCCTCCTGTAAATAATGTTCCTTTTGATATGTTAAGAAACGCCCCGAGCGCACCTCCACCACCACCGAAAGTATTCGATCCGGCAAGTGGTAAGCCAAAAGATAGGTACGCGTGTAAGTTTTGCGGTAAGGTATTTCCAAGAAGTGCAAATTTGACGCGACATTTACGTACCCACACTGGAGAGCAGCCTTATAAATGTAGATACTGTGAACGAAGCTTTAGTATATCTAGTAACCTACAGCGACACGTTAGGAATATTCACAATAAGGAAAAACCATTTAAATGTCCTTTATGCGAACGGTGCTTTGGACAGCAAACGAACTTGGACAGGCACTTGAAGAAACACGAAGCTGATGGTCCAACAATTTTAGACGAACGAAATCTACAACGAAGAAACTTGAATAGAAATCTGAGTGAAGAATCTTATTTCGAAGAAATAAGATCGTTTATGGGTAAAGTGACCGATGGCAGGCTGTTGCAGCATTTAAAACCAGGGGCCATTCCTAACTTCCCATTGTCTCTTCCAACGAAACTTTTCGATTCTAGTAAAACGATGCAAGAGCCTGAAAAATCTTCAACGCCTACTGAAGAAATTAAAAGAGATTCTTCATATTTTTCCGACAAAGACAATTATTCATCGAGATCATCGACAAGCTCAGACGCGTCAAACAAAGATGAAGAAATGACAACGAAAAGCGAGGACAATTTAAAAAAGCAAGAGGACGAAGATAGCAACAATAACAACAATACATGATGACTGTGATATATGGTTTTGAAATTTGCTAAATATTGTGATAGAAATTCAATCAAGAGAGGTATAGTTATACTTTATTGAAGGTTGATCAAATTAACTAATTATTTTTATCAAAAAAAAAAAAAAAAAAAATGAAGAATACCTTTTAATTTTTGTGACATTTTGTTTAGCCTTGTTAGCGCGATCTATTTTTAGTACTCTTTCCTTTTAAGGTAAATGCCAAAACACCTACAAGTTTTGAATGAAATAACGTAATTTGTGTGTGTAGATTCTGGGTGAAATAATCGATAATAATTGATTTTGATTGGAAATATATTTAAATTTTTTGCGATTAAAGTCAAAATTTAATGAGGGTTAAATCAATTATTCTAATTCTAACTTTATCTCAAAAATAGTTTTTGCCACTCAGATACCTACTTAGTCTGAATTGAGTTGGATATAATATCAGAATTATTATCGGCTCTTGCTTGACTGCCTTCACCGTTGAACGAATTGTTTGGAAAATCCAGAGAAAATAATACCTATTCAATATTTGAATTATTATCGACACTTCGGAGAGGTTGTCCAACGAATCAAGAGCCGATAATAATGAAAATTTGAATTTCTATCGGCACTTGATTCTGTGAGATACTTTAAACTTGTCTTTACTCATATGAAAAGTTCCAAAAAGTTTTCAGATTGGTTTATAGCTGTCCCACTTTCACCCACAATTTTCTCTTTTCTCTGCTCTTGATCACTCCAGAACAATTTTCTGGGAAATCAAGAACCAGTTGTAGCTGAGATCAGGACTATTATTGGCTCTTGACTGCCTCTACCTTTAAACAAATTTTCTGGAAAATTCAATATTTGGATTACTATCGGTACTTCAGAAAAGTTATCTAACGAATCAAGAGCCGATAATAATGAAAATTGGGATTTCTATTGGCACTTGATTCTGTAAGATACTTCAAACTTGTCTTTACTTATATGAAAAGTTCCAAAAAGTTTCCAGATTGGTTTCTAGCTGTCCCACTTTCACCCACAATTTTCTCTTTTCTCTGCTCTTTATCACTCTAGAACAATTTTCCGGGAAATCAAGAGCCAGTTGTAGCTAAGATCAGGACTATTATTGGCTCTTGACTGCCTCTACTTTTCTCTCTTTACTTTACTCTAGTTTTCTGGAAAATTCAATATTTGGATAACTATCGGCACTTCAGAAAAGTTATTTAATGAATCAAGAGCCGATAATAATGGAAATTTGGATTTCTATCGTCACTTTGATTCTGTAAGATACTTCAAACTTGTCTTTACATATATGAAAAGTTCCAAAAAGTTTCCAGATTGTTTTATAGCTGTCCCACTTTCACCCACAATTTTCTCTTTCGTCTGCTCTTGATCACTCTAATTTTCTAGGAAATCAAGAGCCAGTTGTAGCTAAGATCAGGACTATTATTGGCTCTTGACTGCCTCTACCATTAAACAAGTTTTCTGGAAAATTCAGTATTTGGATTACTATTGGCACTTCAGAAAAATTATTTAACGAATCAAGAGCCGATAATAATGAAAATTTGGATTTTTATCGGCAGTGTGAGATACTTCAAACTTGTCTTTACTTATAAGAAAAGTTCCAAAAAGTTTTCAGATTGGTTTAGAGCTGTCCCACTTTCACCCCACAGTTCTCTTTTCTCTGCTCTTGATCACTCTAGAACAATTTCTGGGAAATCAAGAGCCAGTTGTAGCTAAGATCAGGACTATTATTGGCTCTTGACTGCCTCTACCATTAAACAAATTTTCTGGAAAATTCAATATATGGATTACTATCGGTACTTCAGAAAAATTATTTAACGAATCAAGAGCCGATAATATTGAAAATTTGGATTTCTATCGGCACTCGATTCTGTAAGATACTTCAAACTTGTCTTTACTTATATGAAAAGTTCCAAAAAGTTTCCAGATTGGTTTCTAGCTGTCCCACTTTCACCCATAATTTTCTCTTTCCTCTGCTCTTGATCACTCTAATTTTCTGGGAAATCAAGAGCCAGTTGTAGCTAAGACCAGGACTATTATTGGCTCTTGACTGCCTCTACCATTAAACAAGTTTTCTAGAAAATTCAATATTTGGATAACTATCGGCACTTCAGAAAAGTTATCTAACGAATCAAGAGCCGATAATAATGAAAATTTGGATTTCTATCGGCACTTGATTCTGTAAGATACTTCAAACTTGTCTTTACTTATATGAAAAGTTCCAAAAAGTTTCCAGATTGGTTTATAGCTCTCCCACTTTCACCCATAATGTTCTCTTTTCTCTGCTTTTGATCACTCTAATTTTCTGGGAATTCAAGAGCCAGTTGTAGCTAAGATCAGGACTATTATTAGCTCTTGACTGCTTCTACCATTAAGCAATTTTTTTGGAAAATTCAATTTTTGGATTACTATCGACACCTTAGAAAAGTTATCTAATGAATCAAGAGCCGATAATAATGAAAATTTGGATTTCTATCGGCACTCGATTCCGTAAGATACTTCAAACTTGTCTTTACTTATATGAAAAGTTCCAAAAAGTTTCCAGATTGGTTTCTAGCTGTCCCACTTTCACCCATAATTTTCTCTTTCCTCTGCTCTTGATCACTCTAATTTTCTGGGAAATCAAGAGCCAGTTGTAGCTAAGATCAGGACTATTATTGGCTCTTGACTGCCTCTACCATTAAACAAGTTTTCTGGAACATTCAATATTTGGATTACTATCGGTACTTCAGAAAAGTTATCTAACGAATCAAGAGCCGATAATAATGAAAATTTGGATTTCTATCGGCATTTGATTCTGTAAGAGCTTGTCTTTACTTATATGAAAAGTTCCAAAAAGTTTCCAGATTGGTTTATAGCTGTCCTACTTTCACCCACAATTTTCCCTTTTCTCTGCTCTTTATCACTCTAGAACAATTTTCCGGGAAATCAAGAGCCAGTTGTAGCTAAGATCAGGACTATTATTGGCTCTTGACTGCCTCTACCATTAAACAAGTTTTCTGGAAAATTCAATATTTGGATAACTATCGGCACTTCAGAAAAGTTATTTAATGAATCAAGAGCCGATAATAATGGAAATTTGGATTTCTATCGTCACTTGATTCTGTAAGATATTTCAAACTTGTCTTTACCTATATGAAAAGTTCCAAAAAGTTTCCAGATTGGTTTCTAGCTGTCCCACTTTCACCCATAATTTTCTCTTTTCTCTGCTCTTGATCACTCTAATTTTCTGGGAAATCAAGAGCCAGTTGTAGCTAAGATCAGGACTATTATTGGCTCTTGACTGCCTCTACCATTAAACAAGTTTTCTGGAAAATTCAATATTTGGATAACTATCGGCACTTCAGAAAAGTTATTCAACGAATCAAGAGCCGATAATAATGAAAATTTGGATTTCTATTGGCACTTGATCTGGAGAATACTTCAAACTTGTCTGTACGCGAAGCTGTCACAAGTATATCACTAAAGTACTTGGAGTACAAGTACAAAGTACTCAAGGTTTTGTAGACATGTACAAAGTACATATTTTTCTCAAATGTACTCCACTTACCAAGTACTTAATAAAAGTACTTAAATTTTTCAGAGTTCTTAACTTGAAGTGAGTATTTCAAGTAATTGTACTTGTACTTCAAATACATTATAATGGCGTCTTTATCACAAATATAAAAATAAAACATGACAGGTTCAATAGGTCAATAATATACTCGGTGTTCCATTTGAAAAAGTATAGCTTTGCTTCGCCACTCTTTCGTGACACACCCTGTACACCTACTTGTAACTAACTTCATTGCAAAGTTTCTGATATTACCTATACAAACAGGTGAGATATAGGTGTGGGTGCAAAATATACACAAGACGTTACGTGCAATACTTTCATTGTACTTGAATTACCTTTTTACTACCTGGAGTCCTTCTTATGTGCTGCAAGTACTTCTATGTGCTCGAAGTACTTTTCAATGTAGGTACTTCAATTCCTTGTGATGAAATCAGATACAATGCAAAATAAATTGTAAAAATAGTTCAAGTACCAAGTATAAATATCGTTTATCCACTGTACTTCAAGTACTTATAAGAACTTAGAGTACAATTTGAAGTATTTTTCTTAAAGTACTACTCTGTCTGTACTACTTGAACAATAACTTATTATATGAAGTCAGAATTTGTTAGATTATCTACTTTTTGTCATTTTGCCTTTTAACAAGAATTAGTAATGTTACTTTACCAAACTAGTAACATAATGTGACAAGTTATTCAAGTACAAACGAGTGGATTGTTGCGGAATTTATGGGTGGACCTCTGCCGGACGAGCGCAGCGAGTTCCGCAGCCATCTATTCAGCAATATGTTGTTCAAGTACAATACTAACTTGATTCTCTCAGTTGTGAGTTTTTCTCATTAGTTCAAAAACTACACGTTTCAGGTGATTGTCCTACTTGAATAGTTCAACAGTATATTGGTGAATAGATGGCCATAAGTTCCGCAACAATCCACTCATTGTCAATTTGCCTTTTAAAAGGAGTAAGTAATGTCACTTTGCCAAACTACGAACATAATGTGGCAAGTTATTTAAGTAAAAACCAGTAGATTATTGCTGAACTTATAGGTGGACCTCTGCGGGACGAGCGCAGCGAGTTCCGCAGCCATCTATTCACCAAGATGTTGTTCAAGTACAATCATTAGTTCAACAGCTACACGTTTCAGGTAAGTGTCTTATTTGAACAGTTCAACAGTATATTGGTGAGTAGATAGCTGCGGAACTCGCTGCGCTCGTCCCGCAGAGGTTCACCCATAGATTCCGTAATAATCCACTTATTTGTACATACATACAGTGTTTTTTCATATATTGACACACCATCTATAGCTTTAATCTTTACAGGTAGAAGAAATACAAAAGTTGCAGTGAAATTTGAGGTACTTGGCTTCTCTGATAGTATTTTTAAAATTTTAAGAACCAAATATGTTGGAGATGGCTGAACCAAATATAGACAAACTATATAGTGTTGGAATCGGGAAATTGTGCTCTTGAAGAATATAGAACCAAATATAGGGCATCCCATTTGAGAAAAGCTGAAAGCATGCAACATTTCACATTTCTGACATTCAATTTTTGTTTCTGTACCATGGATTCTAAAAATTTAGCCAATATTGTACAACTTTTGTATTTACACCTTTCATCTACCTGTAAAGGTAAAGGCTGTAGGTGGGGTGTCAATACATAAAAAAACACCCTGTACTTGAACAATAACTTATTATATAAAGTCAGAATTTGTAAGATTACCTATTCACTTTTTGTCAATTTACATTTTAACAAGAATTAGTAATGTTACTTTCCCAAACTAGTAACATAATGTGACAAGTTATTCAAGTACAAACCAGTGGATTGTTGCGGAATTTATGGGTAGACCTCTGCGGGACGAGCGCAGCGAGTTCCGCAGCCATCTATTCAGCAATATGTTGTTCAAGTATAATACTTACTTGATTCTCTCAGTTGTGAGTTTTTCTCATTAGTTCAAAAACTACACGTTTCAGGTGATTGTCTTACTTGAACAGTTTAACAGTATATTGGTTAGTAGATGGCTGCGGAACTCGCTGGGCTCGTCCCGCAGAGGTCCACCCATAGGTTCTGCAACAATCCACTTATTTGTACTTGAACAATAACTTATTATATAAGCTCAAAATTTGTGAGATTATCCACTTTTTGTCAATTTGCCTTTTAACAGGATGTTACTTTACCAAACTAGGAACATAATCTGACAAGTTATTCAAGTAAAAACGAGTGTATTGTTGGTTAACT